CTCTCATTGAATGCCCCAAAATGTTTGGATGTTGTGTTTTCCCTGTTGGTCGACCAGCTATATTGAGCCCTCACAAATAAGTTTCCCACGCTTACTACCAATTATGAACCCATATGGATATCAACAATGGTAGAGTATCTTAGCGTTACACTCACACAATTTACGATGGTTACTGCACGTTCAGAGCCTATTCTGTAAAGTTAGAAAACTTTCTTATTTCTCACTCCGCTTACGAATACTTTCTGTTCCCCACAAGTTAATTGTTCGGTTTGTGAATGCATGCGTGCTTCCTCACTGGTTGTACTGCTCCCCAGTGATTTTTCCCGATATGTTTAAAAAATACTTTGAATTACTGGCGAGGTCTCTAAAACATATCTCTAAATGCAGTAGTATCGCTGGGTATAAATCTGCAAACTCCATCATAAACAGCCTACTCCAAGCATATGAAAATTTTATCGGTAATATACTCTCAGAAACTCATCATCCATTGCATGACGTATTTTTTAAAATCTGTGTCTACCTCGTCCATACACTCAAGATTCAAGCTTTTATTTTCACGTACCTCTTCGTATCGTAATTCTGTTTTAATATATCTCGTACGTCTGTTTGTTGACGAGGAGAAAGTTTCCACAGAATTACGTAATTGCTTGCTCTATTGCCAAAGGCGATATCCACTAATTCCAGTTTCATTTTGCATGATTTTGTAAATTTACATCCACAAATATGATGTGCAGAATTCTGAAAAATCGCCCATCCGGGTGCATAAAGCTACTACTAATGACTTGATTTAGTCTGTGTAATGCTTTCGGTAAATAGGGATCGGTTCATGAAAACTGGAAGAATGTGGGTTTTTCGGCGGTACACGTTTCGTCTGAAACATCGGTGCTGCATTGAAACTACCTGTTTCAAACAACTGTTCTCTCTCGCGAACTGTTGCCCTCTCTCTCTCTCTCTCTCAACAACCAGCCTCACTCTAACTGTTTTCAACAGATTTGAATATGGGTGTGGCCCAGCATAAGACCAAATTGACAAATTTTTGTTATTCGGGCAGCTATATCTCACCCGTAGACGCATCACCGAGTGTAAAGTGTCAGCTGGCATTCACCAACTTGATACATCTGTGGCACCGCTGCGACATCCGGCTGTCCGTGAAGGGTCGAGTGTATGCTGCAGCGGTTCGGACGGTGCTGTTGTACGGAGCAGAGACTTGACCGTTAGGAGAACAAGGTAAAAGTAGATTGTCGGTGTTCGAACACCGCTGTGTACACACAAATCTGGTGGAGAAACCGGATGAGCAATGCTGAGGTTAGGCGTCGGTCATTGCGGTCGTCCACTGTAGTAGTAGCAGTAGTAGTAGTAGTAGTAGTCAACCATAAACTGTGCTGTTTGGTACATATGCTACGCATGTTACCAAAGGGGTTGCCACGGCGAGCGATGTTTGCCGAGGCAAGCGGCGGATGGAAAGGGGTCGAAGGTAGTCAAACAAAGACCTGGTACGAGGGTGTAAAAGCCCTAATAAGGAAACTGGGTCATATAGGTCCTGTTAGGCTCACTGGATGGTGACCTCGGGGTCACGATCACTGGTGGTTAGGGACGCTGAGTGATATGGCTGAGTGTCGCGGACATAGGTGGTCGTTCCTCTACTAAATATTCATGCAACACCTGCCCAAACGAGTTCTCTATCTTTCCCTTGAATCCGCTCTCAGTATTGCAATCTTCTTTCTGCCGTTTTTTATCTAAATGGGCGGCCAAAAGACAGCAACCAAAACTGGCGCATGGAAGTGCATGGTTAGTAGTTGTAAAAACTGAAATTGGAAACTCTCTTATGATAATGCATTTGTGTATGGCTGATCACTGTCACTTTCGCTGGTTTTATTTCCCTCTCTCTGTCTCTCTGTTTTGTTGCAACTTTTATGAGATTGTGTTTGTCCAGTAAGTTCAAGACGCTTTCAGAATGTGTATAAATGATGCACAAAAGACGTATTCCAAATTCACCTCACAATGGTTGTCACCGGATAGATTAAACACCACTAAACTGCTGACAACTTTCTTCGGGTTTCTGGTAATGGGGATTGAACTAAGTGACAAGAAACTCCACGAAGATCCATAATCAATCGCGTTCATCTTAGAATAAAATACTATTCTCATGATGTTCGATCGCTAAACTAGCTACTCAAACGGTTATCTTTCACTACAGAATTGAATCGATCACGAGAAACTTTTTTGCTGGGGGGGGGGGTAT